CATCACTTTGACGAGCTTTTAAGAAAAAATATAGTTTTCAGTAACCGGACGTTTTATTAAATTAAAATAACGGTTTTCTAAGTTAAGTCACGATTTTTCACGGTAGCACCCTGAATCAGTTTTCGCAAAGTAAAAAGGTTTTATTTTCAAAGACTTTGCGAATTATTGCGCTACTCTGATTTTATAGTAAGGAGGGGTGTTTCAGGCAAAATTTCAAAAATGGTCCATTATGTTGGCTATTTTCCGAAAAGGTCCATCATATAGGGTGTCATCAATAGTGGTCCACTAAATTTTCACTTTTAATTAAAACTCGTACAAATGCCAAAATAGTGGACTAAAAGTGATTAAATGGCAACATAGTGGACTAAAAGTGATAATCACTTTTCGTCCACTATGTTTGTATTTATACGAGTTTTGATTAAAAGTGACAATATAGTGGACCATTATTGATGACACCCTATATGATGGACCTTTTTCAGAAAATGGTCAACATAGTAGACTAAAAATGAAATTTAGCCCTTCATGAGGACAATGATTCATTTCAGTGGTTGTTGGATGAATTTCTGAAGTCAATGGGTGGGAAGCAGCCCAGCACAATAATGATCGAAGAAGATGCAGCTATGGCAGCTGTAATTCCATTGGTGTTAACGCAATCCCAACATCACTTATGCACCTGGCATATTGACGAGAATTCAAAAAAGCACATTCAGTATTTTCGGATAATGCCCGATTTCATCAATCTTTTTCATTTGGTTTTGAGATCAACGGACACAATACCGGAATTCAATTTTTATTGGAAAAAGTGAGTTATTCAATTTATATTTGAACCTGTTCATTCTACAATTAAACATATTCTTTATTACTGAAACATGTTCATTTCTCACTGTAACTTGTTCATGATATTATTTTTGTAGATAAAATTCATTTCGTATATAAACATGTTTATTTATTTATTAAACATGTTCAAATCATACTGAAACATTGTCATAATTAAATATGTGCTTATTCTTTGTGTTTTGGAAAAGTTCAAAGAACATGTCAAATAGAATGTAGACATGTTCATTAAACAACTTAACATGTTCATTTATTAGTGAACCATATTCATATCATACTGTAACATGTTCATGATTTTATTTTCGTAGAAAAAGTTCATTTTGTTTTAAACATGTTCCTTTTTGTATACAAAAATATTCATTTATTTTTAAACATGTTCACTTTGTATAAAAACATATTTATTTAGTTATTAAACATGGTCATTTTGTATATGAACATATTCCTTAGGTATACGAACATGTTTATTAGACCATGAACATGTTCATTAGACATGTTCATTGTTTATACGAACATGTTCAGAACAATTACACATATTCATTTCATACTGTAGCATTGTTCTTGATCCTTCAGGATGTGTGATACCTACAATTGCGCTGATAATAAATGGCTGAAGCGGTTGTATTCAAATCGTCACAAAGGGTGTCCAGCCTTTAACAAAACTCATTTCTCTGGTGGTATATTGTCATCCCAAAGGAGTGAATCAACAAACAACTCAATTTCGGCGAAACTTCCCAAGACTGCTCGATTGTGTGGCTTTTATTCTCATTTTGTCAAAGTTCTTGAGGAGTGGAGAGAGAAGGAGAATAAAGATGACTTTCGGTGCAACAATGGACGCGTGGAATGTCAATTCCCTGATAATTCCCTACTCCTTAATGTTCGTGAGTTGTACACAATTGAAGCATATATTCATTTTGAGCAACTGTATATAGCTGCAATTTCGTGCAAGATGGAAGTCGTTGGAGCACCACAAAGCATTGGAATTGGAAATAATGGGAATGTTGTTTTATGCTATGTTCAAAGGGCAAATGTGGATGTGTTCAAGCACCAAGTAAATTTCAACTTAAATTCTCATGAGGTTAGGTGTTCATGCGATTTGTTTTCGGAGGTTGGTTTCTTTTGCTGCCACTGTCTTAGGGTGTACATCGTTTTTAATGTCGAAAGAGTTCCAGATATGTATGTACATCCAAGGTGGCGTCGGAATGCCAATTTGAACTGTCGTTTAGACTTGGAGGGAACCCAATATTCTGCGGGTTACCATGTGCCAGGTACATATTCATTATACAGTGGCACATGTTCATTTCGTATTGAAACATGTTCATGTCTTACTGAAACATGTGCATGATATTCATTATACAATAGAACATGTTCATTTAGTACTCACAACATGTTCATTACTCAATCAAATATGTTCATTTCAGGTGCATGCCTTTGGAGATCTGAAAAAATATGCCAGTTTCTGAAGATTGTTTCATCAAGTGAAATGGATCAAAATGCCAAAGATAATGTTGATGAATGTTTGAGATCCATGTCTAATCGGATAGAGTCTCATTTTTCTTCATTAGCTACAGATGAACCGTCTTGTACAACGAAATCTTCTACCGTGAATGTTAACGATCCAGAGAAATTGAGGCCTAGAGGAGAACGAAACATTCGACGGAAAAGTACTATGGAGAAAATTTCAAGACAATCAAAGGGGAAGCACAAGAAACAAGCTTCATTGAGAAATAGGAACACCATGTTTAACCGGGTCTTTGCTACAAACCCTGAATTTGTTGGACGGTTTGTGCATCCCTTTCCTCCTAACAAAGATTATCAACATGATCCTAGAGGTTCTGGATACAATCCTCCGGACATGAACATGGCCTCTCAAAATGAACATACTTTTTGTTTTCTATGAACATGTTTTGTTTTAATATGAACATGTGGCTTTTAAAGATGCACATGTTTATTAACCCGAGGAATATGTTGATTTTGCACATGCTGTATGTTGATTTTGTAAGTAACGTGTTTCTTAACTTGATGCATTTGTTTATTTATAAAATAAACATTTCAAATTATAAGATGAATATGTTAGGTTATGAGATGATTATTATTATTAGCGCTATGAATATGTTGATATTCTATAATGAAAAATATGTTAATTAACATGAAGAATATGTTTATTTTTAAAATGAACATGTCAACTTATAAGATGAATATGTTAGGTTTTAAAATGAACATGTCATTTTATAAGATGAATATGCTACGTTTTAAAATGAACATGTCAAATTATAAGATAAATATGTTACGTTAAGAGATGAGTAACTTAATTAGCGCGATAAATATGTTGAATTTGTATAAAGAAATGTTTTTCTTAACATGATGAATATGTTTATTTGTAAAATGAACATGTCAACTCGACTCTACTAGAATTTGACTCAATTATACGATAATTGAATTGATAATATTAGAATTTTGACCCGATTATACTAGAATTCACTCGAATATACTAGAATTTGACTCAATTACACTAGAATTGACTCGATCATACAAGAATTGACTCGATTATACTAAGTTTGAATCGACTATACTAGAATTTGAATCGATCATACTAGAGTTTGAATCGATAATACTAGAATTTGAATCGATTATACGAGAATTGAATTGATCATATTAGAATTTGAATCGTTCATACTAGAATTGAATAGATCATACTAGAATTGACTCGATCATACTAGAATTGACCCGATTATACTAAGTTTGACTCGATTATACTAAGTTTGACTAAGTTATACTTTGTAAAATGAATACGTTATCTTGGTAAAATGAATATGTTTCTTTGTAAAATGAATACGTTTCTTGGTAAAATGAACATGTTCCTTTGTACAATGAATACGTTTCTTGGTAAATGAATACATTTTACCCGATTATACTAGAATTCACTCGAATATACTAAAATTGACTCAATTACACTAGAGACTCGATCATACTAAAATTGACTCGATTATACTAAGTTTGAATCGACTATACTAGAATTTGAATCGATCATACTAGAGTTTGAATTGATAATACTAAAATTTGAATCGATTATACGAGAATTGAATTGATCATATTAGAATTTGAATCGGTCATACTAGAATTGAATAGATCATACTAGAATTGACTCGATCATACTAGAATTGACTCGATTATACTAAGTTTGACTCGATTATACTAAGTTTGACTCAGTTATAATTTGTAAAATGAATACGTTATCTTGGTAAAGTGAATATGTTTCTTTGTAAAATGAATACGTTTCTTGGTAAAATGAACATGTTCCTTTGTAAAATGAATACGTTTCTTGGTAAATGAATACATTTGACCCGATTATACTAGAATTCACTCGAACATACTAGAATTTGACTCAATTACACTAGAATTGACTCGATTATACTAAGTTTGAATCGATTATACTAGAATTTGAATCGATCATACTAGAGTTTGAATCGATAATACAAGAATTGAATTGATCATATAAGAGTTTGAATCGGTCATACTAGAATTGAATAGATCATACTAGAATGGACTCGATCATACTAGAATTGACTCGATTATACTAAGTTTGACTCAGTTATACTTTGTAAAATGAATACGTTATCTTGGTAAAATGAATATGTTTCTTTGTAAAATGAATACGTTTCTTGGTAAAATGAACATGTTCCTTTGTAAAATGAATATGTTTCTTGGTAAATGAATACGTTTGACCCGATTATACTAGTATTCACACAAATATACTAGAATTTGACTCAATTACACTAGAATTGACTCAATCATACTAGAATTGACTCGATTATACTAAGTTTGAATCGACTATACTAGAATTTGAATCGATCATACTAGAGTTTGAATCGATAATACTAGAATTTAAATCTATTATACGAGAATTGAATTGATCATATTAGAATTTGAATCGGTCATACTAGAATTGAATAGATAATACTAGAATTGACTCGATCATACTAGAATTGACTCGATTATACTAAGTTTGACTCGATTATACTATGTTTGACTCAGTTATACTTTGTAAAATTAATACGTTATCTTGGTAAAATGAACATGTTTCTTTGTAAAATGAATACGTTTCTTCGTAAAATGAACATGTTCCTTTGTAAAATGAATACGTTTCTTGGTAAATGAATACGTTTGACCCGATTATACTAGAATTCACTCGAATATACTAGAATTTGACTCAATTACA